ACTAACTTAGTCGTCGTCGTCTCTCTCTCTCCTCCACACACACACACACACACACACACACCCCTCCGACGCGACACACACACACACACACACACACACACACACACACACACACACCCCTGAGGTTCAAACAACTCCGAAATCTTAAAGCTAGAACTCCATCAAAACTACTTGGGCCTTAGCAGCAACATGAAGAATTTCCCCCCGATCTCGATGCAATTCAGCATCAGGCTCACTTGAAAGGCTCATGAACGTTAGCAAACCTTTCCGGGAATATGATCCAAAATTAAAGCGGGTTCGGATTGAAATCCCAAACCCGGCCGGTCTGTTGTGGTTTGACAGCAAACATTTCATACAGCTGCTGTCTGTAGATTAAACATGCTAACAACTAATGACATGGGGCTAATATTGCTCACCTAGACTCATGGATGTTGTGAGGATTAATTAATATTGCCGTTCATCTTCACTCCCTGCCCTATGTTGTTGGGTAGTGTTGCGCTATTAAACACCTGTGGGGTTACACTCCAAAGGTGGCTGCACTTCAGTATGAAGAGCAGTTCATTGCATACGTAGTTTGAAATGATTGGGAAGAAAGGAACTGTATAAAAGATGTTAATTACTATTAATTATTATTATTATTATTATTATTCACTCAGGCTGAAGTGCGGCAGCTGTTTAGCTGCAAACAGCAAGAACACTGTGCAACAGTGAGGAATGATGGGGTGAAGAATATCATAGCCAAATGAAACCACAGAGGGAATTTAAATAGGCAGAAAAAAGGCACTGGAATTAATCCAAGACACTGTGGTTAGTTCTGCCACTGTTGGGAGAAGTTCCATGAAACTTTAAGGATCCAAACCTTGGTTTTGTGTTTCCTGTCCTGTGGCTATCCTTTAAGATTCCTGCACATGGTTTTCGCATTCTTTTTGTATCCAATCATTCTGACACAGTGAGTCCAAGGCTGTTTTATAATCCTCAGAAGACACGTTCTTGCTTGTTACTGTCCTCGTACCCACCTAATCCATTATTCCTCCCTCCTGATCCAGGAAGCGAATGCTAGCTATATGAAATTATAGTCTATGGAATTATAAATGAAGGTGTTGGATACATTATTGCCCAAGGTGTTGTAACTAGGGGCAGGCAGATGAGGCCATGTTCCAGTTAGGGTCAGTCTGAGGCTGGGTTATCGGAAGACTCAGGGCTCAGATTCATGTTACAATGTGCCATCGCGTTGTTAGATTTTCCCCTACCCCAAAGTCAGCTGATTTTGGACAACTTCTGCCATCATGGGCCACATTCAAACCAGATCTGGAATCAGGCCACTTCTGGGTTTCACTCTGACTCCAACTCGAGACATAACATGAGACCCTAGAAAATTGAGAGTGAGAAGGATCAGATCTGTGGTTCCATTTGGGTCCATATTTGTCCTCAAGGAGCAAGAGGAGAGTTGCTGTAAATCTCCATGGTCTAAGTAGTCATTGGCTCTCCGCTCCCTGGCCAGTTGTGAATGGTAGGTTTGATTATGTGGATACCTCCCAAGAAGGAATTGGACTCCACCCTCCAGGCTGCTCTGTCATATCACCTAACTGCCCACATATTATACAAATCCATTCATACCAATCTGGATCACATTCAAATTTGAGATCTAAAGGATCAAATCTTCACAGTCCACCTATAATTTTGACCACCCATACTCACATTTTCAATGAAATCCATCAATATAAGCATTTTTAATTCCATTTTTCTGCCAAAATAACACATGGAAAACTGATCCCCACTCTGTTTCCAGCCAGACCAGAAATTAAAATGTTCCAGATGTTGTAAATGTTGTCTGATCTGGACTTTTCAATTAAACCCATCTTAAGAACATAAGAACGGCAATATTGGGTCAGACCCAAGGTCCATCTAGCCCAGTGTCCTGTCTTCCAACAGTGGCCAATGCCAGGTGCCCCAGAGGGAATGAACAGAACAGGGAATCATCAAGTGATCCATCCCCTGTCGCCCATTCCCAGCTTCTGGTAAACAGAGGCTAGGGACACTTCAGAGCATGGTTTTCCATCCCTGCCCATCCTGGCTAATAGCCATTGGTGGACCTATCCCCCAGGACCTATCCCCCATTAGTCGTCTCTTTTCCAAGATGAAAACTACCAGTCTTCTTAATGTATCCCATGGAATGTAAGCCATTCCATACCCCTAATCATTTTGATGCCATTTTCTGAACCTTTTCCAATTCCAATATATATATTTTTGAGACGGGGCAACCAGATCTGCATGCAGTATTTAAGATGTGAGCATATCATGGATTTATCTAGAGGCAATATGATATTTTCTGTCTTATTTATCGCTTTCCTAACGAGTCCCAACATTCTCTTAGCTT